GAGTAGGCCTCTCTCCAAGACTTGGTCTTTAGGTAAGCAAACCCAGACCTTTTAGCGGAGCTGCTGGACCAGCTGCACCACTTGCGTCAGTACTCTCCTATCGTACCAACCGAGTTGAAGTAGTCCGTCGACCGTTGGGGACCCCATCCCCTCCCCAACATTCAGCATACGGTCCCAGCCGAAACGCCAAAAGGGCTGGTTTGCTTACTCCTTCCACTGTGGGCCTATCGCTTTTCTTATGGCCGTGTCTCAGGAGTGCCCACTGCTTCCTACACTGCATATGTCATAGACGGTTTTTGACTCACCAACCGCCGAAAAAGGAAGACCTCCATTTAAAGTGCTTTAGGCAGTTTTTTTTGCTCACCCTTTTATTCTCTGGCGATTCACTTAGCACTTTTGCCTTCAGTTTCGAGCGGAATAACAACATCTTACGATATATGATCGTGCAATGTGCCTTCATGCCTGCGTGACAATGACTTCCAAGCGTGAACACATCAAGCAACACTACATGTGGCCTTGGCGTAAAAACGAAACATGTTCGTCGTCACAGAGGTGATAGTTCGATGTCAGACATCAACGACGGCGACCTCGCTATCCCGCGACACACGGATGATTCCAGCTGAATGATACCAAACCACGTGGTCGATATCTGACGTTTCTTCCGCACAATTGCGTTCAGCAACAAAGGAGAACACTGTTCAAGGTTGTTGCATAAGCGGAACGTCTGGGGACCAAATTGGAAGCCCAAAGGGTTGCTGAAGAACGGATCGCCTTCATTTCGTAGTGGTGACTTAACAAGCAGTAAGGGAACGAACAGTTTCTCAATTTTTGGTGACACCCCCCCCCCCCCCCCCCCACCGTGCTCCAAAGAATGGACGCACTAATAATGGGAAACGTTCAGTCTCCCTCCTGAGGTCAGGTCACTAGAGCTGCGCGATCATTGAAGCCTAAGGTTAAGCTTGGGTTTGGGCTTAGGCTTAGGCTTATGCTTACACATTGGTTTATGCTTAAGCCTATGATTGGGCCTAGGCTAGTCCTAAGCTTGCTTCGAGCAAATGAGTGGTGTCTCAATTTTAGGTGACCTGACCTGAGGAGGAGAACTGCAACGCACCCGCTGATATTCAGCGTACTTGTCGAATGTTTCTGAAGCCACACCAGTACAACCTAATGACCAAATTCAAAAAAACTTTACTGCCCCCTGGCGCTCTTAGGCTATCTTGGTTCGACTTGTCCTTCCACCATTTTGTTAGATTGTGTCTTTTAAGGTGCTATCCAGACGAGGGAAAAGGTGACAGTGAATAGGTCTGGTAAGTGAGACGTTCGGTTCATAATTCAGTATTTGAGCTAGTTCTCTTTTCTGAAGGGTGGTTCTGCGGTCGGTGGTTGAGGTGCATCGAAAAAACAGTCCGCCCGTTTATAGCAACCCTTGTTGGGCGTCGTGTGAAGTTTTAAAGGTATTTTGATGATTGTAGAGATTACTGCCCTACCTTATAAATTTTCGCTTATGCTCAGAGAGCTGCATCTGCTGCAGACCGCGTAACAAGCAGCACACACCCTTCTCCACATGCAGTTTCACCTTTGCGAAGTTTTGCTGACCTAATCGTGAGAACTAGCCTGCCCGAATTCATAGTTATGAGAACAATCCACTCGACACTGACATGTCACCTTACAACGAGAAACAGGTCGTTTTCAATGGATGAAAAAGGTAGAAACTCGGACAGACCGCTCTACCAAACCGCAATTCTTGTGACTTTCTTGCCGACTCTTCCGGACTTTTCACTCCATTTTATTTGGCTCCGAAATCACATCAGTTATACGAAGTTATGCCCCAGGATCACATTGGTGTGGCTCTTGTACACGAATGCGAATGTATTGGTGGGAAGTGGGGCCGGCAGTAAAGAAAAAAGGAAAAGAATCCGTCAAAAACGCTTAGGTTAAGGGCTCACTCACCTTCCTAATCGGCTGTGCTAAGGGAATGAGAGACTAAGCGCGGAGAGGAGAGTATGGGCGAGAGAGCGCTACAGATGAGAGATCGCCAGACAACAGCCTGATAAGAGAAAAAAAAGTCTGCAGCTTGGGCAGCTTACTTTGCAAGGCCCAAGCGCTCTTATCGGTCGGTTTCCGTGCACGAGAACGCCACATTGTGATTGTCCTCTAGGGTTCTATACTACAGACCGAAGAGAAGCGTTCACACGAACTCTGCCTGGGTTGTGCCTTTAAATTGAATAAGTAACGGCTTCCTGAAAAATTGCAAGGATATTTATTTTTTCAGGCGACTTTGCCACGTTCGATATCCAACGACCGCCCTCACCACTTTCGAGACTCTTGCCACCCTACATAAGAACAATCGCAATTCAAACAACGCTAAACAGCGCATTTTTCGTGAATGCGGGACCAAACAACCTGTTCATACCATAAGCTTATATTGCTCTTTCCTGACCTAACTCGAGTCGAAGAGAGCAAAATGCTGCAGAATTTGCTTTTGGGCATGTATTAAGGTTGGAAGGACACCCCACAGCCAAATTTTAAATTTATTTTTTATCCTTTGTTTTTTCTAAGACCCGGAACATATTGACCATCAGACTTAGCAATACTACGCCAACCTTCGGGCAATTGGCTGACACCACATTTGTAGAAATTAGGAGAATTTTTGTCAAACAATCTTTTGAAGTCGGATTTGCAGTCCTTCTCGTCGTCGAGCTTTCTGTTCTCCAGGTAATGAGCGAAGCGAGCAGGAAAGGTGGAAGACGTGTATGGATAGGTTTGACGAATATGGCAGACGGGCAACCGCGGTCCAGCATAGCTTGAGAATCTTGTGGCATGAGACCGAAGACCCGCGCCGACGCGCGTTGTCGTGAAGCAGATTGACTTGTCGCTGTATTCCGTGAAGCTTTCCTGCAATCGTTCCGAGCAGCTAGCAGCGGGTAGCCCTTGTCATCGTCAATCCTGCAGACAGAACATCACCCATGGGGAAATACCGTCAAAATTCCAAAGTTTGTTGACATTCACCATTCCCCCATAGTTGTCAGGTCAAGGCATTGAAACTCCACTTTCCCATATTCCAAACCGCTGCTGCTTTCGCATATGGTTGAAGCAGACGGTCCATTTGTCTTCGCCAATGGCCACATGCCGCGGCCTATCGTTGCTACTGTGCGACGAGAAGTACATGTGCAGATGTCCACCCGGTGAAATCGTGCGGTACCATCGACCACATTTCCAAGACTTGTCTAATTCCTGAAGAGCCTAAAGAACGTGCGGTGAGAGCACTCAAGACGCACTACCATACAGTGTGACGACTGTCTTGAATCATCCTCGATTACAGCGCCGACGACGTCTTGATGGACAGTAGTCGTACGTTGCGTCAGAGGGATCAAAGTTTCCGCTGCGTAGCGTTCAAGCCGTAATGAAGGCGCCACTTGAGAGATCACGCCCCATTCTATCACTGGACAGATTCTGAGCACCTCTCGTGAGCTGATGTCTCCAGGCGAGTACGCACAAGAATGAGCGCTCGGAGTGTCTGGCGGGAAAAGTTGATTTAGTGCCATGCAAACGCCATTATTGGGAAAGCTGATTTGATCACCGTACGTAGCACGGTCCACTCCTACTATATACCACCCATGGAAGATTCCAGAGCATTCGGGAGAAATCCAGAAAGAGCGCGAATTGAGTGTTAAGGAACTTTCCTTCCAACCTAATAGTAATAAAACTGGAAGGGAAAAAATCTGCAGAAAAATAATGCGAAGAGATGAAGAAATGGTTCGTTTCGCCTCAAACAGACGAACCATTGTATTCCATCAACCCCCGAGGCTCATCAGTGAGTGGAGGGTTGGCAGAATCAAGGGGATGATAAAAGGTGTTAGAAAGGAAAAAGTTTAAAGTATCGAAAAAAAGTAGGAGTAGTAGCTCTTAAGCGAAGTTGACAGCACTTTCAGATAGAGCAAAGGTCGCGGTCTCTAGAGTACGAAATATTTAGCAATTTGCCAAAAAATTGGTCAGAAATGAGGCCTTGAAAGTTGAAGTATAGGAAAGCAGCAAGCTTTTTTTCTTACAACCTAACAAATTGTTTAATTCTGACGATGAGAGTAGTGAATTTCAACTCCGTCTACAGTTCCCTCCATCTACCAGGCAGTGAGGGGAGAGACGTACAAAATATGTCCAAAAAATGCAATGTTCTAGCAATGATTT